ATAACGTCCGAAAACTAATGTTTTGCAGTGTAACTGTGAGGGCGCTTTAAAGTAATTCAATCGAAAAAAACACCCATCCCTCAAAAGAAGAAGCTAAAAGATTAAAAGGTGGTGAATGGTCTTCAAAAACCACGGGTCTCGCAAAGTTTTCGTCTAATTTCATGGGTCTCGCAGTCTTGTTTCAGCGGTTATGCGCGTCTCGCAGTCTCAATATTTTGCACGCTAAGAAAGTCTCGCAGTAATATTTTGTTTGCTTTTTTTATAAATGATGTCTGAACCTCTGAACAGTTACTTAATGTCTCCAGCGAGCTTGTATTTAGTCTTGGTCTCGCAATTGAAGGAGTCAAAATGTCTTGGGCTTGCAAAGAAAAATGCTAGGCTCGCGTTCTTGCAAAGTCTTGCATTTAGCATTCACCACCCCTAGATTATCTTCGCACAAGGGGTCAAAATGGGCAGGAAGTAAATAAATCTTGCGCGACATCATTTATCTAAGAGGAATGCTGCTTGCCAGCTATAAGCGATTCCGATGACGTCATTGCTTAAAAAAGTTGCCTAGCTGTTGTCCTATTAAGTCTCATATATTGTTAATTAGAAAACAGTCCTAAGAAAATACGTGCGCTGATTGGTTAAAAATAGTGTTTCTATAACTCGATGGAAACACAGAACTAGCACAAGCTGTTGACGTAATGATGACTCAAGCAAAGAGAATTTTCACTTTGATAATCAAGTTAACAAGCTGTTTTCCCTTTTTTCGTCGTGGTGTTTTCTATAAGAAATAGAAAACCTGTTCTCCATGTTTCTATTAAGTTGTAGAAACACTCATGCAAGATTGGGAGAACTCTAAAAAGCTGTGGAAACACTCGCCTGTGGCTCGTGTTCCCACAGCTTATCTCAATAGCTGGCAAAGTGAAAGAACAAAAGATTCAAAGCAGTCATCAGGGATTTTCCTTCTGTCCCATATGGTGTTGAAAGAAGATCCCTGACGATTGGAATCAGGGTATCATCATCAAGTTACCAATTAATGGAGGTCTGTAATAAATGTGCATACCCTATCAATTCATTTGAATAGCGGTAATTCATGCAAAAATAATCCTCAAGTTTTCAGCCTTGACAGAATTTCACAAAATACATGCAGGTTTTGGACTGCATTGCGCTGAAGCTGCACTGAAGTGGTTGTCATGCCGCCAACCAATGAAACTCAATTTAGAACTGCCCAGTAAGTCTTGCGACAAGGCAGCCTACAGAAACCCAGGGGGGACTCCCACATAAAAAGGATGGAGGTGCTCATTGTACCTTTTAGGGGTTAAAAATGCGGTTTTGGCACCTCTCAGGAGGGTGTACGTGTTCAACCTCAAAAGGTCCACAGTGGAAGCTTTTGCAGGGTATTAAGCCAAAAAATATGACAAGAGAGTACATGTGTGTGTTGTTTTAGAATTGGGGTGAAAATAATTT